CTGGGTTTATATAATTGTAAAGTGCTGAACCGCACCGCTCAGCACATAACGCTTATACAATTAGTAGATGACATTCCATGTCACTCTGCCACCGTAAAATGTCTGGAAGTTCAGCCTGATGACGAGATTTCCGCTGGGCGTAGATTATGTCACAGAACTGCCGCCATGAGTGACTCACACAGGTTCTGGTTGAGGTCGTTGGCGGCCCGGCCCGGCCCGGCCAGAATTGGGCAGCCGCCGACTGCCGCCCGGCCCGGCCCCCTCGGGACGGGTCCGTGTTATTACTGGCCCCCGCCGGCAGCGATCCGTTCCACCCCCGAGTCGCCGCTCACAGTCCTCCCCTCCCCCTCCCCCTCCCGCCGACACATCTGCAGGCGTCTGTGACGTCAGAGCCACCCACGTGACCAACATTAGACATGAAGGTCTGGCACCGTGCCAGCAAGCATGGTCTGTCATGGAACGAGACGGCATTCTCTGTGCTAAGGTCGTCTGTCTAGTTCGTGAGGCGACCGCGGCTCGCACACGTCAAACGATGCGGCTCACCTCACACCACTAACGAGTTAATCACCTTGACCTGTTTGCTCGCATTAGTCTAGGTCAACATGCCGGGACCTCGTTCCTTTGTTCAAGGCCGAACAATGTCACAAGACCGACCGGTGTCGAGCGGAGGGAGGGAGGGACAGATGCCATTGGGCGGATAGCCAGCGGCTGACGACCGAGCGCTATGTGACCTCGCGGCTGAGAGGATGACCGGTATGCCCGAACATAGCCCTGTTTACCTCTGGGATCGGGCAGCGGTCGGGCGATTCGCTCAATGAGGTGTCGGTGATGCGAGGCAGCTGGCACCGGGACCGGGCACGCACCAACCGATCGCGGGGGTCGGTGAGGGTTGCAGAGGATTGCGGAGAATCGCAAAGGGTTGCAGCGATAAAATAGTGATGAGTGATGGCAGGCCAATTTCCATAAAATATTCATCAAACTCATTCATTTATTTATTTCTTCATATTTCGAAAACTAATTTCATGGCACTTTACGACAGGAATGTCCACACCCCCCCCCCCCAGTCAAAGGGGGTTGCATAAGCCCGCGCCGCTTTTGATTCAGCAAACTAGTTAATAATCCGAAGAACGGTTGGCATAATAAATTAAACGTATGCCCTTTCAATAAAGAATGGACACACTCCAAACCTCCAGCGCCATCCAAACCGCTACGTGCCGCGATGTCGATGGACTCATTGACGTCAACCAGTTGCCAATAGGAGAAGTAATGTCCGAGGGTTCAGTGCGCTCTCATTGGGGCGCCAGACAGCACTGTGCCCGACTGCTTGTTAATTCCAATAGCAGCTTAGTTTGCCACGAGAGTTACTGGGCGGGAGCCGGACGACTGTCATTTGTGGAGACTCTAAGCCGGAGAACGCTGCCGCTGGGTACTAACTATTGTAAGCTGAAGCTATTCGATAGCTTCAAAGCTCGTCAGCCAAAGCCGCTAGGATTCAAACAGATTTCTCTGTCTGATGCCGACAACAACAGCGCAGCTTATAGTTGTTGCTATGTACTTACTTTAAAAATGTTATGATATTGATAGGACATTTGGATTTTACATTCAAATATCTACTTACCAAATATTAGGAAGAAGACCATATTACTATCTGGAGCCATGCCCTTACCCAATACGCACGTTTTTCGTACCGTACGACTCTTTTTACGTATATCGCACCTATTAATATGCTTTATATGAAGGTTCAGCTTTGAAACTGAAAACACGATATTTGAAGCTGGAATAGACAACCCAATGAAAAACTATGGCTTCATTCTACAATTCGTCTTGTTTTTAGGGATCTATCTGGACCCATTGAACTTTGAAGTGCGCACTAGGCCAGAAACCTGTGAAATGTAAAAATTATTTTCATTTCATTTCATGTTCAAATCGATGACGATCGCTTCACTCAAGGCAGTCCAATTCTCGAGGGTCACGTTCGTGCGACCTTTATGAATCCTCATCGCAAAGCGCTCCAGACTGACGCTCAAAGATTTTCTCAGAGGTCCTTATTTGAATTATCGACGATTGTAGCTCCTATTTACCACTATTTTTGAAACGGACGTGACATTTTCAGGGAAATGTTGTCCAAGGTTTCGGCTATTTGTACTTTACGTAAGGATTTCGGGCTTCAGCAATTTAATCGGGCCCTTGGGGCGAGCAGGATAGAAATAAACTTAATTCGCCGGCATTCATTCGTAGGTTTAATGTGGAGGAACAACCACAGCTAAATAAGCGAACACCTATGAAAGTTAAAACGTAAGAAATTCTATAAAGAAAACTTAAAGAAAAAAAAACTTAAAAACTTATGATTTGTGCTTTCAATAGGTTGCGAGAATCTATATTTGGATATGGGCAATACGACATTCGGCAGGCTAAGCGATACGTTCAAGCTCACCCTACAACTTCTTGTAGGCAATTTGACAATATGGGACCTCTCACTGGTCATTGATGGTCTTCATTTGACTCAGCTGCATACTCATTCAACTAATAAAAAGCAAAACATCCCTGGATGGCGGGCAGCATTACCAAATCGGATGTTTCCATGACAACGCTCGCTCGGTCGCGGACCGCCATCAATAAGCCGACACAGTCCGGTCAGCAAAGGCCGCCATGACAGTGAAGCAGGCCTCAGTTGGCAGAGGCTCGACAGCCGGCAGGGGCAGGGGCAGAGGCACCGCCCCGTCCGATCCGTCCGTCCGCGCCCACAGCCCACACACCATGATGAAACCGACGACATTGGGCCCGCGCCGGAAACAGAACTCCACTTTATGGATGGGAGCGACTGAAGGTCATTTCGGTCGAGATGGACTCCTTGGAAACTGGGCCCGCGGTGCTTTGGGATAAAATCATTGTTAAAATAGCGTTGCTACGGTCTCAATTTTTCAATTTGAAATATAAATGAAGTTATATAATTGTTTTACGCTCACTTCAATGCGTGAAGGAAACACTAGACTTCTCGCATTGTCACTGAGCTCATTCATGCCATATATAAGCCAAAACACACAGCTCCTGTCTGCGAAATATGACACGCCGTCCGCCAACGCCGCTCAAAACAACAGAGAGCACGACAGGGCTGATTTGTTGCCGCAAGGCCGCATCCATAGTATATGACCCAGCCGGTTGGCACTGTCCTCGAGGGGAGACATGAGCGGGGAGGGGGCACCACCTACAGACAGGAGAGGGGGGGGGGGGGTGAAGTGGGTCTCGCTGACGTCACAGGCCATGACAGGACCGGGGCTGCCTAAAGAGAGACCGACGCGGCGGACCGTGCTGAGCCAGCTGCGGATGGTCGCCATGTCACCTGTTACGTCATAAGTGCTCGGTCTAGGAGGGAGCAGCTGTGCCCCCGGCGTACACGACTCGTCGGGGACACGGCACCGACACGGGATCGACTACGCGCAGCTGAGACACGGGGAGCAGAGACAGTAGTGGGAACCATATCCATTACACATGTGACGTTTGTATTACGAAATGGCTCAAGCACACCTGCGCCCTGCCATGTGAGAATTGAGACAATGATGCTTTAAAACTGGCATATATGTGGCCGCATTTATGAAAGACGAAGAGCATAGCCAATGGTTATGCTCTTAAGATGGTGCTGCTATCAAGGGAACATAAAAGCACATGTGAGACAGGAAAATGGAGATGAGCCAGCACCATTTTAGGGCACAAGGGTTGAATACGGTCTCTTTTTTATCTCATTAGGAGGTCATTAAGGAAAAGCGAAGCGGCACTGTTTTTCAGCTATTTACAATGTCACTTAGGAAAACAGTGTCATTAATTTGGCTTTATGAAAGGGTATGCAGGACGATGGTTGTTTACAATACCATCCTGCATGAATTATCAAGAGCTGTTTCACGGTGTTTGGCCATTGCCAAGCAGTTGCATGGATAAAAATAGGTCTCCAAATTTGTCATAACTTCTACGGAGATAAAAAAGAACCTCAGCATGAAATTAATAAGAACAAATACTTATTCGTTTCAAACGGGAGTTCCACTTCAACTAGAACTAGGTACACCTATAAGGTCTCGACATCACATGCTTAAAATAATTTATATCAATCAAAATCTGGATATAAATGGGTCTTATATATCCCAACTCGTACGATAACTGAGTACATATCCATTAATTCATTGTACCACGCAATATACGTGAGTTCAACAGATGCGGACACTGGACAGGGACATATGGCGAACATTGAGCCAATTATTCACAATTATTCACAGCTAACTGGCCACTATGAGCTCGCCCGTAAACACATTAGTCGTTTTCACAACGGCCATCTGGTATACATTTGGTGTAGATTAGGTGCAGATTTGGTGCAGATTTGGTTAAATTAGGTTCAGTGTATTTATTAGTAGCTATCAGTCAGGGTTGCATTAATTGCTTATTTAATATTTATGTGCCTTGGCATATCATCAGACATTATTGTCGAATAAAACGGCAATAAATTCATGCTGTGAATATATTTGCTGTAAAAGAGATTTGGTGCAGGTTTGGTCAAATTAGATGCATTCGCCACATAGCCCGTCGTGAAAACGGCTATTGTGAACTTCCTTTTAATGCTATTGTGAACTTCCTTTTAATATTTAAACACACAGTGCGAACGTTCCTATGTAAGCTCTCCAGACTATTCCGTGACAGATTTCAGTGTGAGTTCTGCTGCGTATAAGCTCTCACTGTGATGAGTGAGTTCCCTTCTCACCGATAGTGAGTACTCCGACCAGGGTGACCACCTGGGCGGGAGGCTCGCACTCCTCCACAAACGCCTCCACCAGGTACTCGGCGAACGAGAGGCAGATGATGGCCAGCATGCTCGGCTTCAGCACGAACGAGCACACCCAAGAGAAGACGAAGGCCGGCAGGTTGCCCAGGCCCACCAGCAGGTACACATACTCGGCGCCAGAGGACGGGATCACCGTGCCCAGCTCGGCGTACGCCAGCGCGCCTGAGGGTCAGCCGAGGTCACACGGGGTCAGTAGGGGGCACATGAGGTCAGCAGAGGGCACATAGGGTCAGTAGGGGTCACCTGAGGTCATAAAAGGTCATGAGAGGTCACCTCGGGTCATCAGAGGTCACACGGGGGTCAGCTGAAGTCACCCGGGTCAGCAGAGGTCAAATAAGGTCTGCCGAAGTCACCTGGGCCAGCAGAAGTCACATGAGGTCAGTAAAGGTCAACTAAGGTCAGACTCTCAGAACGAGCGGGTCATGGGTCATACAAGGTTACAAGGTTCATTATGGGAACCCCTAAAGGTTGCACTGGTACATGTAAAATACAAGAGGTCGAGCCTGCCTCGCGAGAAAGCAGAGTGGTTCATTTAAGGTCACAACGGAATACAAGTGCTTACATTGGGTCACCGTGGGAGAAGAGGACCACGAGAGGTCGTACCGCCGTACGAAAGGACGTACTGTGTCATGTGTGGTTTCAAAGTTTCGTGTCATATTAGAGGTCACAATGGGTCACATGCTAATTTTTCAATTCGAATCGGTCATTAGCTCCCAGGAAGTTATATTGGGGTCAAAGGAGGTTACATTGACGTCACGTAGGATCACAGGGAGCTCATAGAAATGCCACGGGGATCGCTCGAGTTAACAACTGATTACAAGAGGATCCAAGATGTTGGATGGGATGACACATTTGTCAACATGAACAATCCCTAAATTAGCATGAGGTCACGTAGAATCGAACAAAGGTTCAAAAGGTCAACCAAGGTTACCGACGATGGAAGTTCTTAACTCTAGCTAGGAAGCTTAACTTCCGGGATATAATGAGCAGCGTGGGATATCATTGTGCTAGGACAAAAGAAGCGTCAGGTTATAAGGGCTCAGGTAAGGAGGTCACAATCAAGTCAGGAAACACGGGTCATACTGAAGACTGCAAAGGACACTTATAGCAACACAGTATTCATTTCGCGGGTAAGAAAAAAACATCAATAAGCCAGACCGATATAAAAAGACAGCCTACCTTCAGTACGCCCCAATCGGAAAATATGGGCCTGTCTGACCGACCGACCGACCGACCGACCGACCGACAACCGCCGAACCGACCGGCCAGCCCTAACATTGAGGACACGGTACGACCCATTGACCATCCAGGAAGCCGGTGGCTTCTCTCGACAGGACGTCGTCGGCCTCAAGTATCACTGTCACCCGAGACCGGCTCAACTCAGCTCAGCTCAGGAGGCCATGAAGGCCGCTGGGGTTTAACTCATCAGCGGCGAGACCGTACGAGGTCTATTGGATCACAGGAACATCGGTGTGCAGGTAGGACAAGATCCTACTCAGGCCACCACACAAGTGCGGCAAAGGGAAGACCCGTCTGGCGGCCTTATGAGGCCATCGATTGTTGTTACCAATAAATATGATTGTAAGGTAGGTATATAAGCATGTTGAGGGTATTGTTAATGATTGTGTCATGCCAAAAGATCAGAATCATTTGTTGTTGGAGCTTTTGGGTGGGCGCTAGGGCACAGGTAGGCTATCAAGTGCCCTCAAAGATCAGAACAGGTGCTAGCAATAAATGTCGGCAATTTTAGTGCCACAAAAGCGTGACGAATGAGATTGCTGCTGATACTCACCCAATGTGGAGAGGACACCACATCCCATCCACACGACAAGACACATTCCGACGGATCCGGTGCGCTCCAGCACACCCTTGGGGGACACAAAGATCCCAGATCCTGCCGAGAGATCCGCCCGGTCAGTCGGTCACAAAACGTAGCAAATATCACAAAGCAATGCATATCAACATACAAAGAAGGCTAGGTTACGAGAAAATCTCTAGAAAGGTTTTGTAGTAGGGCATGGTGTGCGTGCATTCATTTGTGTCTCTAATCGTAGAAAGCAAAGCTACAAGAATTGAATAATTGCCGTCATTTCCACACATTAGGTCCATGGTCACATTAGGGCGCCTTTTTACACAAAATAAGAACAAAACTGCAAGGTTTCGACTTTGCGGTTCTCGTCTCTCGACGCTCTGGTTGGTATCCATATAATCTGATTAGCGTAATAGGGCCAACTCAGCACCCGACGCTTGCGTGTTGCTTTTGACATTTCTCTCTCAGTAGTTTCCATAATGAGCGACGTCCGCGACTTAGTATGCAAATGCCCGCCTGTTGCACTGGTTTTGTGATTAACGGTCGACCACGTTTGAATGCTGCAATATCTTTTATCACCAGTCACTATGGCATGAATCGGTGCTGAGCTCAACGAGGAAGCTGCTCGTCCAATAAGGACAGGAAGGTCATTACCACAGAACTCTAAAGTCTTGGACACCAGACATGCAGCCCCACGCAAATTGTAAATTACCTATGCTGAACGAATGTCCTGGATATGATCATAGTTTATATAATATCATCCTGAAGCACATCCGACGGACAAGATGATGGCGACCGGTGGCAACAGTGAGTGGATGGCAAAAGAAAACGATCATCATTTTCTTTCATGCTTAGCAGACCGATGATATGATTAACTCAAAATGATTTCGTGACAGTGCTAGGCTCCCATCAGAGTCAGTAATTTAGCCTCGGGCACGACTCATGGACATTGGACACTAAATCGCGCATTGATTATTCCGGTATGTGATGGGGTGGCACATTCCTTCCAGGTCTGTTGTGTTGTGGCATTCCATGCGAATCAATAGAAAGGCGAGGCTCGGGGGCACCGACCTCCCATGGGTCCGGGCTGACCTTTTGAGCATCGCATTCCTTTCTGTCTACATCGGATCATAATTTTCTGAAATGCATACTTTCACGGTCGCAAAAGTAGAGCTGCAGGAGCGATACAAATACATAATATTTATGTCTTTGAGTGATATGGTTCATACAAATTGACGAAAACGTATTAAACAAAATAGTGGATAAATATACAACACACAAAAACGCATAAGTATCCGTAAGCATATGGGGTCAATGGGCCAGCGAGTAGCAGCACATTATTACGCGGAACGTTATGTCCAGAGTTTTGACGTTACCTAAAAATCATCACAGCTTGATATCAGATGCCAATATCCGCACACTTTTGTTAAGAAGTTGTTAAATACTGTTGACTTACCGATCATGGTGCCGACAATTAGAGCAACCCCAGAGAAGAGTCCCACCCTTCTCTCGAGGTGCGTAGCGTTGCCCTCATCTGGTGCGGGTGGCGCCAGCACGTCACCAGCTTCTCCTTCGGATAAGTCAGACAGCTGGCCGGAGCCACCGTTCGTCTGTACACTTCCATTGAGATGCCCTCCTGACGGCAAATGACGTCACTGGGGTCAGTGGGAAATGTAAGCTAGGGCTAGGCTAGACTGAATGACGACACCTTCTATTTTTTTGTGGGGAAGCCAGGCGTTTGCAAGCAGGGGAAAGGGACAAACATTTTTGTTGTCATTTTTGTGTTTGTTGTCTAGACAAACATTTTTTCGTTTGTAAATGTTTAACATCTTGATAGTACCTATTTAGGTTGTGTAGAACTTTTTCGTTGCTGAAAGCAAGAATTTTACGGGTATACAGATAAGTGAAAGCTCCTATACCTCAACGGATTAGGCACACACACACACCTATTTTGCCAGTATAGGTAACTGTCTACAAATAAAAAAAAAAAACGCTGCATGTCATCATATTCAAACCGGTGATACCTGTATAATGATACGTTTCATGATAGTCAGAATGTTTGAGATTATTTCTAAGCATTCCAAACATATTTCATATACTCGTACACTGTGCATATTTCAACAAGTCTGATTGCTATTTATAGGGTCTTGGCTAGTTTAACCGACAGACATGTTCATTATGCGTGATTTATGAGCCCCTGCACGTCGATCGGCATATCCGCCTTCCATAATCACACGAACAACGCATCGAAAGCACGTTGATTTTATTCCATCTCCTGACATTGATGACATTAATTATCTCGTAACAATTACGCAGACATCAGATTACACACGAAACGCTTGATTAGCTAAACACAGCCCCAAATGGTGACGTGTGTCACTCTGTTTACCGATAACCGTCACCGCCTCCGTCCAATCCACCTCAGTTCTATCCGCGAACCGCACAGTGGGGCCGGGAGGGGTCCGACCGTGTATTTCTGTCCCGGACCGGTGAGCCAGCGGCCGTCGCCAGACTACGGATCCCGAAGGCCGGCAGTGCCGATACCACCTACACTGCACTATCAACAGACGGCAGGCGGGGAACAGACGGGGCCGCGGGTCGGGAGAGAGAGAGAGGGAGAGAGGGAGAGAGAGAGAGAGAGAGAGAGAGAGAGAGAGAGAGAGAGAGAGAGAGAGAGAGAGAGAGAGAGAGAGAGAGAGAGAGAGGGAGAGTGTCAGGGACGGGAGCACGGGAGAGATAATGCGCGGCAATGGAAGTCGCGGGGTCGCCTTGGGACAGTTATGAAAGGATTGGCAAAAAGACGGACGCATGAATACCAGGAAGGATGATTAGGGGAATAGGGAAAAAAGATATGCGAGAAAGGGTTTGGAGCGTCAATACACTTATCCGCTTGGCCAAAGAAGCCATATTGCACACTTAAAAATAGATCTACTGAAAGCCTAAAACGTTTTAGTATCATTCATGGTGCAGTACGATGCACTTTCCACACTTATAAGAACAGCACAATGTGCACAAATGAATGGAGCTTTGTGTCTCATAGTGAATGAACGCATAAAAGAACCGTCTCAGCTTGCCTAGTGAGATACGTATTGCATACGCTTCTGGCGGCGCGCAGCTGCTACGCATAGTCACACTTCCAACGCTGCTCGCTGTTGGAATACTCATACTGGCCCTTCAATGTTCGTTTACGGTTAACATGGCCGGTGAGACTTGTCGAAATTCACACACACTCAATCTCGACAGCAGCACTGTGCGGATAAACATCCGGCGAGTTCCCAACTGCGGTCTGGCGGGCGATGAAGCCCCGGCAGCCGGTGGGGACTCGGCGCTCGGACCCGATACAACACCCGGGGCCAGTCTCCTAGGGTTACCGCCGGCTCTGCTTCTCCCCGGCTCGCAGCATCGATCGACCGCCCGACCTGGTCAGTCCGCGCCCTTCTCTCCGTGGGATTCACTGGGCTAGGTGGCTCGCACCTAGCTTTATACTAAATTAACCGGTTTTTTATTTCGGCACGTCATCTTCGCAACTTAGGACTTTTTAAACACTCAAACATTTAAGGGCCAGTATTCCATTGGGAATTGGTCAAATAAAATACAGCTTGGGTACTTACCCTTCCCAGGGTTCTCGTATCTTGCCGATCTAGACAGCTAGCAGACATCTACACGTCAAGCTGCCGACCTACAGCCTGCTTGCAGCTCTCCTCAACCTACCGCCCTTTCGCCCACCTGCTAGCGACCCACCCCAGCTTTCTCACACAAACTTCTGGCCACACGGGCCCAGGTTCCTAACCCCCAGTCCACGCTACTCTTCCAACCTATGGACGACCCGGGGCCCGGCGCACCATGCTTCATTTCAGCCCCCTGCCCCACTGTATCCAGGTGGAAGCCCTCAGGGACTCTCACTGGTCCGGTCCGTTCCGGTCCGATCCGGTTTGGTTCGGTCCAGCCCGGTTCGAAATCGGGAGAGGAGGGTGTGTAATATTGCTGTCAAGACACATGTGGAGGTTCCATGAGCTTTTGTAACTTCGAGCAAAGAAGAGCTTGGAGGAATTTTGAAAGTCGTTTCTTGTCATCAAATATTTAAAAACTTACATGCCTATAATGTTGTCCCTTTTAGTGATCTCTACTTAAACAACTGCCGTGGCTTTCTTTTAGGACGTCATATCAGCAAAGTTATAATAGTTCTGGACATGAGTATGTGTAAAAATTAAATGTACTCAGCTGTTTTGGACAGTTTAGTGACTATATTTGTCACTTCGTCAGCGGTATAGCTCTACCGTAGAGATATACCGCTGACGAAGTGACAAATACAGTCACGAACTTTTCGGAACAGCTGAGGACATTTAATAGCAAATGTACACATTAACACATAGTAATAACATTAACTTGATGACGTTTCTCGGCTAATATCATATGTTTCGGAAAAAACAGCGGCTTTGCCCGCCCAGTCACATGATTCTCTATGACAATTACAGTCACCGTTACGTCAGCCATCCTGGCACCGTGACACTCGACAACAAAATGACAAACGGAACTCTCTTAGCTCGTAAAAAACAGTCTGAATCCAATTAGACCAGTCACTAACTCCTATACGTCAACGTCCGAAGAGATCCTAACGACATGGCATCTGTTGAACGCTAATAGACGTGAACGATGTGCGCCTGACATCAACCACTCAGCAACCCAGAAAAATGAAAAAAAGCAACCAAGGGAAGCGCTCTCTGCACCTTTGAGCCGACCGTCTTTCCCTGACCCTCAGATTTTACCCCTCCCCGTTCATACCCCACCCTCCCAAGAGCGGCGGTCCCCGCCCGCACGGGATGATGAAATCGATGGAGAGACGGCAGTCAGCCGTTCTCCCGGCGCAGCTGGGGCCGGAAAATCGTGCCGCAGCTCAGGAGAGGGGACCCGGAATGCTTCCATGATTTCCCAAGAGAGGACAATATCGGAACGGGAACGGGTCATGGCAGATGCATGTCATAAATCTCTGAGGAATCACGGGTCAGGTGTTGCAGTAGAGGGTAATGAAACGTCGAAGTAGACATGCAAGCATTAGCCTCGACTGCCCAAGTGTTTTATAAGACGCGCATCCCTGCACCGAGGCAGGCGTGCAGTGCACAAGTGTGTTTGATAGCGCTTATTGTCCCGGAACTACGCTTGGGTAACTGAGCACAAGTGTTCGATCAGAAACGAGCGACCGCCATTATGTAAAGAGGATTATGAGCGGGCAGACCTGAGGCAGGCATGAACGCCTTCTGCCAAAAACATAAAAACGAAGTGGTGCAGTCACGTGCGGTGGCAAGGTTATGTTTGCCCTCCACAAGTCTATAAGCTTGTTTTTCTCGATTGTTGAGTCAAAATGGCGAGAAGTGAAGCTCGAATAACCAGATTTTTTAAGTTGTTCATGTTTAATCTCGATGCCGGTAGCCCGGTAGTACACCTATAAACGATCACTCAATAACACTTAACTCTTGCATTGTGTTAAGTTAACGTTCGGTCATCAAGCTTACCATCCATGCTCCGTTGAGAGTCACGTTCGCCCTTTCCGTTCCCGGCGGAACAATCAACAGTGGGCCTCCTTTCCACCGACTGTTCGCAGCTCACACCCCGCTCCTTACCCTTCGACCCCGCCGTGCTACCCCGTCGGCCTCTTCCGACCGACTGACCGCCGTGCTGTCCTTCCGAGCGACTGACCGTCGCACCACCCCTGTCCGCCCCTCCTACCGACCGGTCTAGTTGCCCGCTCCTGCCGTGCACCCGACCACCCGCACCCCTTCATCCGTCACCGCGATGTTTATTTTTCTCCGAGAGGCATGTGTCTTTGGAAGGCGACCATTGTCAGCCACAATAAGGTGCCAAACCGTACTGGCTGTGTCGTCAGCCTGTAGGAGACGTTTATTTCTGAAGGGATCACGCGCTGGGTAGAGGAGACTTGAGGAGAGGGAGGAGGAGGTAGAGGGGAGGAGGCGCACCCCTTTCTCACCACGGCTGACATCGCTCCGCCCCCGGTCGGTGAACGGTGCCATGTGTCCCGCTGCGATAGAGGCCTATGACGTCAGACAATTTTAGCGTCCGCCGCCCACAGCGATGGTATGCCATTGTGGATGGCAACGGGCCTCGACCCACTGCGATTGGCGAGGGGTGGGGGAGGAGGGGGGCTCAGGGCCCTGTAGGATGGCTGACGGTCCAAAGAACTGTCCGGGCTGCCGCCCTTGGGCGTCAGGAAGATGGAAGACAGAGGGAGAGACCGTCAGAGGAGGGATGGAAAGATGGCCGGGGGTCACCACGCTATCTGCCCATGACAGGCAGACGCAATGGCATACGTCTGCAATACGTGACGCAATGGCATATATTTAAATTCTCATACCCATGTGGATTGTGGAGGAATCGAAAAGTGGATTTTTTATATCTTTTCTGATGCTAAATCGCAGCAAATGATGCCATCATGCAATACCAAGCCCGTGCAAAAGCAGCACTTGCGTTATAGTGGGTGTGCCGTAGGCATATTTCTGAAGAAATTCTTTTCCAATTCGTTCCGTTTCGCTCGTCTATTTTTCCGTTTTATTCTTGCAATTTATCTCCTCAATGATGTTTCATTAGAAAAAAAAAACGTATAGCATTGAAAGCATCAGCAATAATTATTATAAAATGCTACAGAAATTTACGCTTTCCCTACTCGTATATGCGTGGCGCAAAACACCAAGTTATGCAGACTAAAACCTGCGCACCGTCTGCACACTGTAGGTATATTCGACCCTGCATTTTAAAGTATACCCAATACAATAGAGAAATTTGCATGAATAATGGTTATGCAAGCAATTTTCCGCAAGTCAGATGCTGTAACGTCCTTAACATAATTACAACGAACTTCATAAAATTTAACCTGTCAGAGATATTAACGTGAGGCAAGACAACAAAGCCACAAAATTAGATAGCATATGCTTCGTTTAGCGCATAGTCAATAGCCGATCCTTTTAATTCAAAAGCTGATTCGACATAGATGAGCAAAACGGTATGAAGAAATTATAAGCGTGATAGTCAGGAAGCATATTTTTAATGTAACAGTTTCCTTATCCAATTGTCCTACCTAGAAATCATTATCAGTATCCACGGCGGGTAACTGTGTAATTGTTACTAGTGCTAAAATCACTCCCAACAACCCACCCTGCTCACTCTCCATTGGAGTTCATTCTAGTCACCCAGTGACGAACAAATGACATGTTTCCATACCGTGTATCGTATATCTCAAATGAGCAGTGAGCTCGTACTCAGAAGCCCACTTGGCATGCGCTCACAGTAGTGGGTGCGCAGTTGTGAGCGGCGGCGTAGCCTCCATCCAGACACACCTTCAAGTATGTAGCCTCTACCCGGACACACCTTCGACTGTCTGTAACTGCAATGCCAAGTACAACAATGGCGTTACATGTCGAAGGGCGTGCCAGCACTGAGAGTGGTCCCGATCGGTGGGTGGTGCTGGCCAGCAGAGGCTCATGGGCACTCAAGGCGTCCTGGAAAAATTAATGGACGCCGATATTTTGGGCATGCTGTCTATCATAGCCTGGACTAGATACAACTATTGACACCTTTCTTCAGTTGCCCTGAGCCGTTAGCAGGGTCAGTCAAAATAATAGTACTTTTGAATAAATTTTTGTTGACTTAGAGCGTTTTGTGTAATGCGTTGTATTGTAACAGCACTTGGAAGAATCACTGCACCTGGCCAATCGTCCTTATCATTGGGCGATTGATAAAACACATGTCCATTCTTTTCAAACCTTCATGTCAGAGGTCAACGCTTCCGCCCATGGGCTGTTGACAGTGACATTTTCTGAGTACTGCATATGGAACACGTTGAAAGGGACAGGAAATCTTCTGACCTTGCAGGGGATGCTATACGATCGGTGGTGGTGGCTAAGCTGATCACATCGATTTGATGGGACGCGGATTCGCAGGCTTAAGTCCATTACGCGAGTCAAAACATTCCAATTTAAGCGATTTCTGGTTGCAATTTGCAACCAGAAAATTTGCTTCCATTAGAACACTTAATTGTGCTATTTGAAATAATTAGAAAATATAAAATAGTTACGTCCTGTAATCAGTCATTGATTTGTTATTGTTTAACCCACGAGCCGCTGGGGGGGGGGGCATAAAGTTGCCCCCCCTTTACTTTTTGCGGAATATCTCCAAAACCTGATGAGCAACGAACGTGAAACTTGGCATAGCTCAGGGGCCCGGGAACGATTTTCAAGTTGGGGGGGGGGGGGGGCGAGTCTAAAATACCTGACATGATGCATATGAAACAGTGGCGTAGCTAGGGGTCTAAGGGGACACGTACCCCCCCCCCCCCATCGGGTTCAAAGGGACCCTGGGGCCGATGGGCCCTGCGGCGCCATTTGACCGCTGAGGGCTAACGATTGCCATATTTCGACTTAGAAGCACCTCACGGGCCCCAAATAGCCACACTAAGATCTCCATAAGTGCCCCACGCTGGCTTCTGAGGGCCTCTTATGGCCTTTAAGGGCCCCTCGGTGGTCTCCAAAAGCCCGTTACTGGCCTCTTGAGAGTTCTTACTGGCCTATGAGGGGCCACTTCTAGGGGCATTTCCCGCATGTGATGTTCCCGCACTTATTTTTCTGAGGGCCCCATAAATCATAATGGCAACTGTGGGGCCCTCATCGGCGCCTATGAGAGCCCACGGCCACATCGGTGTCTCTTAGGGTTTCACACCCCCAACTCTGAGTGCCTACACCAGTGCCTAAAAGCCCTATATCGGCGGCTCCGAGGACCCCACCAACACCTGCGCATCTAAAGGCCATCCACTGGTGACTTTTGAGGGCCCCACACCGGTGACTCTGAGGGCCCCATCGGCGTCTGACAGTACCCTGCCGGTCTCTAAGGACTTCACAGGACTTCTTCTGTCGGCCTAAGGGTCGCTTGCCGGTCACTGAGACCCCCTGCCGGCTTGTAGAGAGCTCGCGTCAGCAGCTCTAAAGGCCCCACACCCGTCTGTAACGGCTTCACACCAGCGTCTATGAGGGCCTACAGCAATTACGCCTGTACGTAAGGACCCTCACCGGCGCCTCTGGGAGAATCACACTAACACCTACGAGTGCCCACACCGGCACCTGCATGACGGCCCCACACCAGTGCCTCTAAACTCTAAGGGTCCCTTACCGCCGGCTCTGAGGACCTTGCGCCGGTTATTCTGAGGGTGCTACCGATAACCGAAGGCACCACACAAGCCCTTGGTGTCGCTGAGCTTTAATCCCATACCGGCCCTCCGAGGGCGCCACGTCGGTGCACTCATTGCCCAACACCCAGAGCGAGTAAACTGTGTTATACCTATAGCAACGATTTTACCACCGTTGTATGTACGTTATGTATTTCTCAAAGTTGACCCGAAATGGTCCATTATAAAATCTGGCCTGCCAAACATATGGCCAAGGTCAGGCCCAAACCAAAGCGGGATGACAATAGCAGATGTTGTCAAATCGATAATGTACCAATCAGCAGAAAGCATTCAGATGGCAAGGAAAATGCCGTGTGTTGATGTTTAGATGTATAAAGGAAACAAGAAGGAAAGAAGTCCGGAAAAGGGAGGAAAGATCCTTTCTCGCTGCCTCAATATTGAGGGGGCGCCGCCCCCTCGGCTCCCAAGTTGGGGGGGCAAGCGCCCCCGCTGCCCCCCCTGTTCCCGGGTCTATGGGCCATAGCTTCAAATGAATACCTGGGCAATGCTTGAGCAGAATTTGGTGGTTGTAGCATTTAAGATGACGTCACAGTGACGTCATAAAACATTGTCGTTTTCCGATACGGACAGTTTCTAATGTCGCTGAGCATGAAACTCAACTGTAAATGAACTAGACAGCACCTGCTGTCATCCTAAAACATCAAAGTACACTTCCATCTAGTTCCTGACGAACAATCGGCCTTTTATATTCGGTCCCATATATCTGATATACCGTGAGGAAACTGAGAGTCGCAAATCTATAATTTGACTTATGACGTCACTGCGACGTCATTTCAAATGAGATCGACACGAAATTTGGACACACCCTCGGCTAGGTATTCAGAAAGATGTGTGCAAAGTTTCGCTTCTCTATCTCGTCGCGTTGCGACGATATCGTAGCAGAAGTAAAGGGGGGGGGGCAACTACATATGCCCCCCCCCCCCAGCGCGGCGGCCGGCGGGTGGCGCGGAGGCCCAGCGGCCGCCGTGTAGTCCGCAATAGAAAGAAGATTGATCAAGACAAGACAGACTCAAAACGCTCAAAAATTCTGGCAAAATTCCAGAGCTGGGCAAGTGCGTTCCTTTAGTGCGTTCCTGCGTTCTTCCGTACGTACGCACCGCCCTTTTTAGGAACGCAAGAACGCAGGAACGCAAAGTTTTTCAAAGGAACGCAAGTAAGAGGAACGCACCACCCGAAATTTTGAAGCGTTCCTGCGTTCTTGCGGAACCACCCGAAAAATTATATTGCTGCCAATGAGCTCTGCGTCAAATGTTTGAATCTCGAGTACGTGTGTTTGCCGGTAGAGGCGCCACTTGTCAGTCGAATCGAGGAAGGCTTGCTTAGATTTAGTGGTGATGTTTACTATTCGATTCGGTTTCAGGCATTAAAGATTTTTAGTGGTGATGTTTACTATTCGATTCAGTTTCAGGCATTAAATGTGTAAAG